CGTGCATCCATCGTCGTCGCAGGGCGCCGTCCGATCGTCCTGCCCTGGGCATGGGTCCGCCGGTATAACCAGCCCATCGTCTCCCTCGTACAGGCATTCTCTCGCGCTCCTCTTGCTCCCACACGCCGCCTCGCACTCGCTCCACGCACTCCAGCCGCTCCAGGTGCCGCGCACGCGGCACGCCATCTCGCGGCACGCCTGCGTCGCCTCGGCGTCGCCGAAGCAAGCGCCGCCTGGCGTCGAGCACGTGCGACGCCGCGTGCGCTGTCGCTTCGCTCCGCAGGCGGGTCTGCACTCCGACCACTCGCGCCAGAAGTTCCACAGAGGGCGCTGCTGGTCGCAAAACTCTCCCGCGTGTATGTCGTCGCACACGCACCGCGCACGCGCGCTCGCCGCCGACGTCGCATTTGCGCTCGGTGTCGCCGTCGGTTGCGCCACCGTCGCCGGTGTGACCTCGCAGTAGCCGTAGACGCAGACGATCTTGTGACAGGGATCTTTTTCGGAGAAGCAGTCGCGCGATTTGTAGTTCGCGTCGTCCGTGTAACCGTCCTCGCATATGCAGCCGTACATGTTGGAGCCAATCACGGGCGAGCAGACGCCCGGTGTGCAGGCGTCGTTACCTAGCAACAGCAAGAAAAATGGCGGCGTATAGCGTCAGCGCGAGTGTTACACTCGAGCAATGGGACGCACGCGGACTACACACACACGCACGCGCGCACACACACACACACACACACACACACACACCACAGGTGACACGCACACAGCACGCAGCAGGCGGCACATCAGACAACATGCACACACACACACACAACACACACACACACACACACACACACACAGCACACCGACACACACAACACCACACACTGGTCACACGAACAAACACACATATACGACGCCACGGCACGATTACACACAACACACACATGGCACACACACACAACACACACTACAGCACACATCACACACACAACAACACACATATCACACAGAAACACAACACGCACACACGCGGCACACACACACACATGCACAGCACACAAACACACAAACACGCACACACACACACACTACACGACCACACAGCACGACAGACAGGAAGCACCACGCACGCACCACACACTCAACACGACACACACACACACACCACACACACACGAAACACACACATACAGTACACAGCAAACACAGACTCTATGGAGGTTTTCGAATATTGTTCGAACTTTGTTACAATTAATATTCTTAATATACCTAATGTGATTTTAAGCTATCTAAGAAACAGACTATAAAACGAAGAAGATTATAGTAATTATAGTATTTAACATGATATATATTACTTGCTCATTAATTAAAAAAACAAAATTAAAACTATTTCCCCCTCGCACAATTTGACCCTAGCTGTCCTCTCTCTGCGTTTAACAAACACCTATATAGCTATAACGTTCACAACGCTTCCCACTAGGTCATTTTGCAAGTGAAATTTCTTCTTTAGGCAGGTGCTATTGCGGGTAGCGTCATGGATGTCATAGGCGATTGAAGCAGAGAGAAAACATGTTCGAATCGCGGTGGGAAAAATTGTTTTATTTTTTATATTTTTATTTAGTATTGTAATTAGGCCTACTTTTCACCATAATTTTATTCTGTTGCGTAGATTTCTCACCTGGACGTTATAGGTATTCGTTAAACGCATAGAGTTCACCGGTTCGAATCCCGCTGGAAGAAAAATGGTTTAATTTGTGTTTTTATTTATTATCATAATTACTAATGTTACTAATCACCGTAACAATCACTGTAACTAGCGTGGATACGCGGCGTTGCCTGAGGAAATCAGTTGCGTTACCTCAGTTGCGTGACCGCTGCTGTGTTGAAGAAAGAATACCATAAAAAAACATAACTTATTATCTATCCATGCACATCCATGACATGCATCATGCATTCCATCCAATTCATCCATTCCATCGCCAGTTGCTGCCATCCCATCCCATACCATCTCTCGCACCGCATCCCATCCCATCTCCATATCCATCCCAATCTCGATCCCATCCCATGGCCATGCCATCCATGGACATCCTCATGCCATGCCATGCTATGCTGACATCCCATCCATCCATCCATCACACCGCACCGCATCCGCATCCCACTCCCATGCCATTGCATGCGCATGCCATTGCCATGCCATCACATTCCCATCCCATCCAGTCCCATGCCATCCCATTCCCATGCCATCGCATTTCGCATCCCATCCTCCCATCCCATACTCCCTCCAACAGGTAAAAAATTATAGAAATAAAAATAAAAGTACAAAATAATACATACTAAAGGGGTACAGGTAAAGGGAAAAAAAAGGGAAAATAAGTTCCCAGCTGTGACTCGAACCCGACGAATCCCGTGTAGGAGAGCGGATATTCTGTTAGCGATTAGGGCCACTCCGCGCCGTTAAGGTACTCTCAAGCGTTTTAGGTAAAATTTCTAGCCAATTTTCTTAGTCTTCAACTACTTTATTCGATGGCTACCACTATGTCACTCTATATCTCATTCATTCTCATATACGCACTTATCATGTAAACTCTCAGAGTGTTTCTTGCTCTGGCCCGCGTACATGTGTAGCTTGAGTCGCGGCTGACGTCAGAAAAACGCTGATTTCTCCGTTCCAATTTCTGACTTAGTAGTCGATGTATAAATGGATATTTCTTTGTGATTACAACTCAAAATAATTTAATTTTACACTCGTTTGAATGGTAACTTATTGCTGTAAAAAAAGCGCGGCAGGGATTGTTATTAAGTGCCGTATTTTATGAGTTATGTCTCTTTATTCGCAAAAAATTTTAATTCAAACGTGCAACTTGAATTTTAGGCAGTTTTTTAAATTTTTCTCGGTAAATATGAAACTTAAAAAAAAATCCTGATGTGTCATTTTGGTACATATTGTTCTTAACACGTGGCGAAAATTTTGTATCCTCACTCTTTCTGGTAATTAAGAAATATCCAAAATACCATTTTTACATAAAAATTCAACATTTTTGTGGTAACATAATTAGGTGCTAGAAATTTCATGAATTTTTTTGCCTTGAGCATAGAGATATATCTCCTCTATAATTAAAACAAGTGATTGATTTGATTCATTCGTCAATAAACGTTTAATCTTCATTAGAGCAATACCCATGCAAAAGATTGAGAGTATCCTTAAGTATATACACCATGGATTCACACGTACGTGATGTTAATCTGTACGCACAACCATCTATTATTAAATAGAATTTTTATCAATTTTTAACTTTTTAATTTTTTTAAATGTTAGTTTCAGCCAGAACCACCTCCCAGACGTGCTGATTCTGAAAATATATTTAGTTTTTCTCTAGGCTGCGGAGTTCTCTAGTTATGCGAGTGCGGACTAATTTGGCTGAACAACTTTATATATATAGAATCATATAGCATGAAATGACATTAGCAGCATTAGGAATTACAATAATAAATTAAAAAAATGAAACGAAAAATAATATACCCCAATAAGATTCAAACATGTCATCTCTCTGCCTTCACCAACTCCCTATGATGTCCACGATGCTATCAACTATGCCATTGCCCAATTGAAATTTTCCTACTGCGCAAGATGTCTTTTAACCACCGACCAATCGTGGGCCTCCTAGCAACCGACCAATCGTGGGCCTCGTAGCAATCGACCAATTAGGGGCCTCCTAGCAGTCGACCAATCAGGGGCCTCCTAGAAGCCGACCAATCAGGAGCCTCGTAGAAAATGACCAATCAGGGGTCTCGTAAGAACCGACCAATCAGGGGTCTCGTAAGAACCGACCAATCAGGAGCTTCATAGCAGCCGACCAATCAGGGGCCTTGTAGGAACTGACCAATCAGGGGCCTCATAGGAACCGACCAATGTCAGCCTCCTAGCAGCAGACCAATTAGGAGCCTCCTAGCAGCCGACCAATCAGGTGTCCTCCGTAATGAACGCGAGACAATCAGGGCTCTCCAGCTAGAACCGGCGACATCAGGAGGCCTTGTCGGAACCGACACATACAGGAGCCTTCTAGCAGCCGACTAATCAGGGGCTCATAGCAGGAAAGCGCAATCAGTGGCCTCGTAGGAAACCCGGACAATTCCAGGGGCCTCCCCAGCCTCCGACCAAACGATAGACAAGAAGGAGCCTGTAGACCTGACGCAATTCAGTAGCCTCGAGTAGGATACTGACCTAATCAGGAACCTCCGTAGAAACTGGAGCAATGCAGTGCATCCTAGGCAGAGACCAATCAAGAGCATTGTAGGATCCAACCAATCAGGAGCCTCGTAGCAGCCGACCAATCAGGGGTCTCCTAGCAGCCGACCACTCAGGAGGCAACCAATCATGAATTTATTAGGAATTATAGGTTATGTATTTATCATCATACACAAATTATTCATCATTAATCCAATACTTACCTTACTTACCTTACTTTCCTTCACACCTTTAATATAAAATTTCCCCTGTAGTTATATATATAGGCAATGTATTGTAATTTGTAGGGGAGAACCAAACTGCATGCAGTGCCCCTTCGCTCACTCAGGATATTGATTTGATCCGGATATTGATATTGATGATATATTGATGATTGATGATTGGTGATATATTGATGATATTGATGAGGATATTGATATTGATCAGGATTTGTGGAGTAGATTGAGCCCAATGAGCGAGAAGCGTCATCTGTCGTGGCTTTGGGGGAGAACACGCTTGTTTGTGGTGGTCGCGGAATTCTCTATGCGCAATGCATCTGAGAGGCCACCTTTGGGAACTATGTAAAATTCTTTAATTGTTTAAATCATAAATAATCGGTAATGCTATATTTTCGGCTGTGATTTATTTTGTTAATCCGTTGTTCATACTTAATGTCTAATTTTAAAAAGAAATTAAATTCTGATAATCACTGGCGATCACACGACCTACCTTTTCATGCGGGGCATAGAGGCCCCATTTTTAAAAACAAAAGCGTGCACATGTTTATAATGATTGTTCATAAGGCTCATTTGCGTGAGTTTTGTGCAATATTCTATTTAAAACACATATAAAGTAACGACTACGTTACTGCAACAATGTATGTCTGAATAACATTCTAGCTTATCAAACTTCGAAAAACGTCTAGCGATATTCGGTTAATTAGAATATAGGACAGCTACGACTTAACAAGACTGCGATTCAAGTGATTCATTATAATTTATAACTGGAATTAGACAGACGCGCCACTGGCAACTGGCGTAGATACAATAATGGTAAACCAAACCCCAAGAGACTAGGGTTATCAAAGCCTCCTATCTTTTTGTGCGGAGCGAATGCCCGAGTGAATCACTCGGGACCGGTTTGCCTGTGCGTTTTCAGACACCTAGAACTTCCAAACTGGGTTTATCTCAACACGAACCTTTCTCCGGCTATCTGGGAACTTAACTATGTATCGCAATACGTCTGTATTAAACTAAACCAATAACCTGTTACAAAAATTCGAAGTGACTAGGCGCGAAATAATTACTGAGCGGCCATTTCTGTTGATCCTGTGACAACTCACTTCAGGTTTGAAAGGGCTGGATTCATCGACCAACTCGGAGGCGCTGCGTTGGCCGATCTCGCTATGTCGCATTGGGAACATGCGTACAGTCATCAAGGTCAACCAAGAAATGGCGGCTCAGTAATAATTCGCCGCTCGTCACTTCGAATTTTTTGTAGCACGGTTATATTGTTTAATACAAGAGTATTTGCGATACATAGTAAAGTTCCCAGATAGCGGAAGAAAAAGGTCGTGGTTGAGAAATAAACAGTTTGAAGTTCTAGGCTCCTGAAAACGGCACCACCAGCAACCGGGCGCCGAGTGAATTCACTCGCATTCCTCCGCAACAAAAGGATCAGGGAGGCTTGTAACCCTAGCCTCTGGGTTGGCGGTACATTATTGTTAGCTCGCACTGGCGTCTGATAGGGTCTATGTCTCCCCAGGGTACCTGCCCGGAACAGTACCTGGTAACGCGTCCGGTATAACGCGGAACGTACCCTGGTACGTCAAATATCTAAACTATCTAATATGTCCGACCGTAATCCCTTACTCCCGATAACGAGTCTAGGGGAGTCGCTCTACCGCCTACTCCTAACTCCCCTGGGAGCGGGTTCCCCTAAACTCATAAGCCCTAACCTTAACCATATCAGCTAGATAGTTAACTAACACGGTCGCACATTCGGCCGCACGGAACATTTCTTATAATTTCTTTACTTAGCGCGTTGGAAGGGATAGGGTGAAGCGATTCGAACTGGAGGGCGACTAGCGATGGAGCATGGGATGCGGATGGGAATTGGGATGGATGGGAATCTGGAGGGGACATAGCATGAAACTGGAGTAAAGTCAACTGGGCCACTGGCGACAGGGAGCAAGCGAAAGATAACAAGAAATGGGTGACGCGAGTCTGATGGGGATGGCAGTGGCGATATTTTAAGTGCATGGCATCAGCACACCGCAATATGCCCATAGAAGAGAAGCTGCTTCACACGAGGAAATAAATGAATGGCTAATCGGCGAGGAATGCCCGATTCCGAGGAAAAGCGAAAGACGCCATGGGAATATGCGAGTAGCTGTGTCACGCAGATGATGGTGCATGGGATGCCATGGCATGGCATGGCGACACTGGTATTGAGATGGCATGCGCATCAACTGATTGCATGCATGCGTACCTGGGTCCGCATCGGCCAGAGCTGAAACTATAGTGGTCAAGCACACGGTTCCTTTTGATTGTATTATCGTCCGCTGTCTAACCAAGCGAGGTGCGCACACGCAAACTTAAGACGAAAATATAGTCGACACCCATCTGATTATACTATCCCACTCTAGCACAGCGCTCAGCGTGATTACGTCGAGTCATTTCAAACATATACTATCACTACTCGTGATCTAGCCGAAACACCAGAGCCTAATCACGTCGAGATTAAAATTATAAAAATCACTAAAATGTAAGCACGCATCTTTCGTTCGCTTGCCGTGGTCGCAGCTGACTGCCGAGAACCCGTGAACCTATTGCGTTTAACGCAGATATACGTTCGCGCTGAGACATCTCCAGTGAGAAATCTACGCAACAGAATAAGCAAGTATTATGCGTCGAGAGTATGGCGCGTGCCTATGGTTAGCCGCGATATGCCACTAGAGATGAGAAGCAGATTAGAGCCTAGAACAATAATGAGACAAGTTTGCTGCCTACGCCGCGCATCGAGAGCATTGCTTGTTCCTGCGTCTGCCGTCTAGAGTGTCCGCTCTTATGACATCCATGGAGCCGCTACCCCGGCAATGACGTGCACGACCCTGTTGCGCGAAAGACAGAAGATCTTTGTGCTAGTCTCGCCAAGAAACTGACGCTCAGTGTGAAAGACCTCGTTTCGTGGAACTGTAGCTTAGCGCCGTGCCCGCCTTAGCGCTAGCTAATAGGTGGTTTAACGCAGAGAGAGAGCAGCGCGTAGCACAGACTCTGGTGCGAGGTGGGGCAAATGAGTTGTAAGAACCTTGCGTTTTTGTAAGTCTTTAATGAAGCACGTAAGGTGAGATCTAGAGTCTCGATTGTTAACATTTAGCTTATCAGCAGTTATAGACGTATCTTCTTTCTGTTCTCTAATAGTCCCTGATTTGCTTCACGTATGACGGCTTCAAAATCACATTAGTATAAGTTTAAGACATTATGAACGTTGTAAAGCAAAAGACTTCGAACAATAGTCTGGTAGAGTGCACACTCCACTACGGAGTGTCGGTGTGTTCCTCTGTGACGCTGTATGGTCCTCGTGGCTGGCAGTTGTGTGCGTGTCTGAAGTATGCTGTGTGCCTGTGTGTTGGTGTGTGCTGTGTGTTGCGCCTCTCTGGTTGGCTCGATAATTCGCTTCTGTGTGTCCGTGTGTGTGTGTCCGCCTTGTGCTGGATGGGCGTGTGTTGCTGTTTCCGTTGCGCCTGTGGCGATGTTGTGTCGTGTGTCAGTCTGTGCGCCTGCGGTCGCGTGTGGGTCTGTTGGTGTATCGTTGTCATTGTGCTGCTTTGTGTGTGGTCTGTTGTCCGTGTGTGTGTGAGTTGCTTGCTGTTGTGGCTGGCGCGAGGAGGTGTTTGTAGTGCTGTGCTGGAGCGGACGTGCGTGCGTCTAGTATTGGGTGCTTGTCGTGTGTGTGCTGCTCGGTTGTGTGTGTGCTGCTGTTTGTGTGTGTGTGCGTTGTGCTGGGCGTGCGTGCTCTGTCGCGTTGCGTGGCGATGTGGTCGTGTGCGTTGTTGTGGCTAGGTTGTGGTCGCGTGCGCGGTGCGTGTGTGTGTGGCGACACGCGGATGTGTGTTAGGTCGTGTCGTGATGTGTGTGCCTGTTGTCGTGGCTGTGTGCTGTTCAGGCCTGCGCGGGTCGTCGTGACCATTGCACGTCGGAAAGTGTAACTATGCGCTCGGGCGGCGCTGTATCGGCCCTAGCGTCAGTAGCCCTAGGTAAAGGAACCGCGTCACAGGCACTAAATATCAGAGCCTGTTGAGGCAATATGAGTGAAACCGAGTAAAATCCACGACTTGCACAACACCGCGCCTGTCTCGGAGAGACTGTCGACACACGTAATTGAGCTTCTCACAACTAGTCAGCGCAGACATGCAATGTGAAGTATGCACCCGTAAATTATCCGACGTAAGCGAATCGTCGAACAAATCCTCGCGCACGAGAGTTTTTGCGTCTGTCTGCCCGGACGACTGAACGCCTCAACATAAGTCCACCTGAAGCACAAGTATGAGCAAAACCCTCTACCATTCTGTGTCGCTAACGTGGAGTGCATTTAGCTAAAACCATCGCTGAAGGCAGAAAGCAAATGCCGTGCTAACACACACCGCGCCGCACCGTGGCCCGCCGCCACGCTCAAGGCATCGTCGAAGTCAAAAAGCACGACCCAGCCTCGCAGACTGGCACGGCACAACGGCTGCAAGGCGATCGCTCGCAATGCGAGAGACGCGCCGCGAAATTGCAGCCACCCGCGCTTGGTCCTGACGCGAGGCACGGACACACTATCGCCCACGAAAAAAAGACGTTTGCGCCACTGCACTTCACCAAGCGCACACGCTTGCAGGCGCGCCTCCTCCGAGGACAACCTCCTACCCGCGAAGGAAGACCGCAGTAGTGTGCGTACTAGACAAATCGAAAGATACCTTCAGCCTCCAGCGAGCCTCCGCGCTTGCGACGAAAGCGAGGCGAGCCAAAGCGCGCGCGCACAACTGAGCTCGCGAAGCGCTCGTAGCTTCAAGCTGCTGGTGGGTCTAATCAGCGCGCATTTTGCTTCCTGGGCAAGAGCCGCCTGTAGGCAGAATGGCAGGCGTGCAACGCGAAGATGGCGGGCCGCGTGACGCGGCAGCGGAGTGGCGTGGAGCGAGTGCGAGCGCGGCCCGTGCGGGAGCGTGGCGCAGAGAAGATTGCCTGTCAGCGTAGGGAGACGATGGGCTGGGTTATAGCCGGCGGCCACGAAAATTCCAGTGTCCCAACAGGGGGGTGCGCGCGAACTCGGTTGTATTTTTTCTCGGGATGTCTCGATCACATTAGTCCATGTTGCGGAAGTAGAGTTTCAGCGCCTTGCGGCGAGTGGTTGCCTCTCCGATTGGTTCATTCCTGGCTCCCTGATTGTTCAAAGAAAACAGCGCGTGTTTATGCTTGACTATGAGCAACGTCGATCGGTACTGTTCCACTCCCCCTAGAGTAATCCTGCTGGCCGTGATAGAGTTAGTCCACCGCAAATTTACGTTACTGCAAAGAACCGAGTCGAAAGTGTGTCGAGGAATCCCGTCCTGTTTGTTAATTGTAGCATTTTTCTGTTTTTAGCTAAGAGCTAATAACTTCCTCTCCGTTTTCGCGATATAAAGTCCGCCCCCCTGCGCAAGTGAATAAACGGATCCCTGGAATGAAATAAAGATAGCCCGAAAATATTTAGGGGGTCTTAGCCAAGAAAGAAAGCCGCGAAAGAAAAAAGAAATTGAAATTTTATTCCACTGATCGAAGTAGGAGCGATGATAATGTCGTAATATAGGACGTACCCAATGAAAATTGATGCCCTAACTTGGCTCTGCAGTGTGTTATTTAAGACTATCTGCAACTGTTAATTGGTTGCAGGGGCTCCAAGGCGTACACCTTCATAGCAAAAACACTGTAATTTACTGTCCCGTGAGCAAAAACTACAGAACAACTTTTCAGCTAATTTACGTGCGCCGTGTTAACATAAGACGTGCAAAATGCACGACAACCTTTTCACTATTTACGGCCGTGTTACATAGAAAATCAAAGAAATACCTAAAGCAGTTGCTTTATTAACATAGATCTTACCTACATCACAAAACACTTATCATGCAGTATTCTCCTCTTTAATCACGTTTATTTTATTAAAACATCACAACATAAAAATCACGCAAACTTCGCTACACACAAAACTTCCAATCTTGCATTGAACCGCACAACGACATTTCTCACCGGCCAATGAAATCATCGCTGAGACGCTGTCCGGTGCGGTTCAATACTGCCAGACAAGTGTTTTGTAATGTAGGTAAGATGTTAATAAAGCGACGGCTTTAGGTATTTCTTTGATTTTCTATGTAACACGGCCATAAATATTGAAAAGGTTGTCGTGCATTTTGCACAACAGAATTCACAGGTTTTGTTTATGGAAGGCTATTGATCCCTAAAATAACATCAGAATATAAAAAAATTTAGTGCACAATTTATTGGTCTAGCATTATGCCAGTAACAGCCAGGCCTTGGAGGCTCAAGTTTCAAGTTTCAAGAAGAGTAAAATAGCGAAGTGCTAGTAATAGCAGTACTACTAGTAATACTAGGCTTTTACGATCACCGAGCTATGTTTACAGATGCCATCAGCAGGTTCTGTACACACATTAACTAAGCGTTGAAGTGTGGCCTTGACAGACACAAATACATGATGATGTGTGTATCATGGTATAACTTTTAGTTTTACATAGCTCTAGTAACTATAGCCCGCATACGGTCCCGCTGGCTTGGTATACCCTGCCAGCGGCAACCGGACGCGGGCTATAGTTACTAGAGCTAGGTTTTACATTGACAGTCATTAATTGCCCCCAGCACAAGATAGTCACCTGACCAATAAATTTTCCAGGGCACAATTCATTCTGCCACAAGGGTATCAGCCTCAGGGCTCTCAAGGGGTAGCTTTAAAAATGAGTGAGATTTATTTTGAATCAGAAAATCAAGGCCGAAGGCAGTTTTTGTCGTTTTACAGTCGTTTTGGGGGTACTTAATTTGTCATAATTTGCTTTAAACTCACCTAGATTTTCTGAGATTCCAGCGGGCTTCGCGCCCGGCCAACGCTGCGAAAGGCTATTTATAGTAACGCGTGACATCAGATTAGCAAAATCAGTTGCTGGGTGCGCCACGAGTAATAGATGTCGAGATTCCCATTCCTCGTCTCCTGCATTTTTCGGCAAAGTTCGGCTAAACCCACTCCACGCAACGAAGAAAAACTAGATTCTTGCAATTGCGTGAGATTTTCGGGCACTATCAGAAATGTGCGTGAGAGCGTGAGATTGTGCTGCATTGCGTGAGGCTCACGCCAAATGCGTGAGGCTTGTGAGCCCTGGGGTATTATTTATGCTGGCTATCATGCGTGTCATTTATGCTGTTACTATTAGTCTAATGATGTCACCATCACAGCGTAAATGCCTGAGCTAACTTGTTGTACTTGTAGGTTAGAGAGCATGCTGATTCGGTGACCACAGATCGAAGCTGTTGGCTAGAGAGTGATGTGGACGTTAGAATCTAGCAGACCTAGAGATCCTTGGATGGCTCACCAACGAGGCATAGGTGTAGGCATGAACAGTGACAGCAAAGCTGGTTTTATCTCGCATCTCCCTCTTCCACCGCCCCCTCCGCTCAGCGTGCCACTTCCAGTTGCCGGAGGAGGTGGAAATGGAATATCAGGTATCGCTACCACTAGCGCTACGTGGTAGCATGCGCACAGCCACACAAACATACACAAGCACACGTGTGTGGACAGACGTTTTTTGCATATGTATGCATGTATTTGTCATTAACAAAATATCTTCTGGTTAAATGCTAGTTAGGTAAATAGATATGATTACATTTACATGTACATATATATGCTTATTGGATGCTGAAATGTGTGTATAAACAGTCATATCTTTATTTAATTTTCAGCACTTGGGTCAAGAATGACAGCAACATACCCATGTACATTTCCTAGAGTGCCAGTGATGCAGCATCAACAACTTTCTGCAGCCCAAGCCCTAACTCAGAATCGGCCACTGGGAATGAGGTTTCAGTCAACACAGTTTTGCAGCCCCCAGGTGAAAACAGGCTTTCAACTTCCACCAGGGCCAAGTCCAAGCCTCTATGAAGTGCCATATCGGCCTGCTGGCCAGCAGGCATTTAAGAGCAGTGCTACTCTCTTAACCACTGCTTCTTGTATAAGGCTGCAACAAGCTTACCCACCTGTTCCCACGAATATACCTCCATTTAGACATCTCTGGCCAAAGGTTCCAGTAGCCCAGTCAGTTACACCGTCATTGTCTTCCATAGCATTGGATGCTACCAGGTCTGGTTTACCCACCTTTGTTCCATCTAGTAATAATGTACCTGTAGTGAGCATGCAGGTCTATCCGCAGACCTGCGACAATGTAACAGTGCCTCCTGATGACACTGGGCAGGTGGTGGCAGATACAGCGGCCATGTCCGGAAAAGAGGAAGTGGTCGATGCAGGAAGCACAACAACACCACAGAGTGAAACCATTATTCCGGAACCATCTGGTCAGGCGCAAAAGCGCAAGTTGTCTGGAAATGCATCTATAGAAAATTCTTTGGACAACGATGTTAAGGTGCCAGTGGACATGTGCCAACCATTATACTGTAAGCTGTGCAATGTTAGCTGCAATGCACCAGCACAGGCCACTGCCCACTACACAGGGAAAAGTCACTCAAAAAAGGCAAAACAGTATATAGTCAATGCAAAGAAACTGAAAGCTGTGGACGAAACTCTAGTCAATTCCTGTAAAACACATGCAGTTACTACTGTTGCTACCAAGTCAAAAATTACCAAGGTATTGAAGGAGAGTGTAACGACTCACATGTTGTGTTTACGTAATATGTAAATATGAAATTACTAACTATAACATATTAGAACCATAGAAGTTAGGCTGCTGTACTGACCATATGAAGCCATGTCGAATATTTTAATGAGTGGACTGAAGTCATTAATTGTTACAAGCTCTTGCTATAATATGTATTCTGTACAGTTATCTTCATGTATTATGTATATATGTGTGTGCATGCAATAGTGGCAGCAAAAGGGTTTCCTAGGTTGATGACGTTTAATACTGTCGCCATGCAGATTGAGGCAGCGGTGCAAGCAGCGGGTAAGCGACAAAAAGAAAAGGCCGTGAAGAACCTGCCCATGCCGAATTTTGCTGAGCTCTTCACGTCTGAGGAGGGAAAGAGCTGTCAGTTGTGTTGTGTGGTTTTCACGTCCCCATACCATGCCAGGCAGCATTACGATGTGAGTATGGTGTTGGGTTAGTACGACTTATGACCTTGCAAAATGATGACAACAGATTTCAGATATTTCTTGCAACCATGGGCAACCGTTTGGGATTAATCTTTTAGCCTGTAAGGATTGTTGATGTTTCACTTAAATTTCTTTATTACTGTCATTATATAGCAATAAGAACAATTTAAATATGTATATATATATATATATATTGTATTAAATCTTTATTAAAACTTGTTTATTACTTCTGGCTGCCTGTTGACTTAAAATTTAGTGTTTTATTTAGTGAGCTAATTTTGTTAGGCTATTGTATTTATGAATTTAGAGAGGTGGTGGTATCTGTCTTCGTGGGTGTATTAATAAAATAACTATTTGCAGGGAAAGCCTCATCAGAAAAAGATGTTGCAGAAAGTAAATCCACCTCCAACCATCGTCGTATCCAAAAAGCAGATGACCAAGTATGTTCATTGTGAACTTATAGTAGGGGCTCCTTCCCTTCCTCCCTGTTTTAGTTTATTATTTATTCTATGTCTTTTGTGTCTTTCTGCACTGATTCAGAGTCATTTACTCTTCACTTTCATACAGAAATCAAAATAAAATGGGTCTGACTTCTAAATACGTAAGTAGCTGGCATATTGTTGACTTGCGGCAGCCGCGGGTTACTACGAAACATCGCTTGCGTTCGGTAAAAATCACTTGTGTTGCGCAATCACTAGTAAATAGCGAATTTCAATACTGCCAGTTTAGAGAGCAACAGAGGTAGGTGCAAGTAAAAATCTCTTGGCGCAAGTAATTGTTTAACCTAACTTGCGGCATGCGCAAGTGTTTTTTAAGCGAATTTCGACCATGTTATAGCCTTGAGAAAATACTCCATGTGTCATTTATAATAGTAAAGATTCTGCATTACCAATAAATAGATTGAAAAAACATTGAAATGTGTAAATAATATGCAATTTTTTGACGTGGCATGATTATTGTGTTATTAACTGTTTTTTGTGTGATCATAATCCAAGCGACCCGTCTGTCCAGTGTGACTGACAGGCATCTCCAGCTAATCATTGTTGTGATAGAACATTCTAAAAACAGGTGTTAGCAAGAAAGTGCCAAATAGTAGACATTCGTTCATGTATTAAAATATTAACACACCTATACTGGCCTAATTTTGCAGACCTAGTAAAAATATTCAAGGGGACGTTGTTATGTAGCTCAGTCGGATAGGTTAGTTAAAGCTTAGTATAGCCACTTGTCGTCATTTTCCACAGGACGATCAAATACACATGCACACTCTGCAACATGCATCTCATATCAAGGGAACAGCTTCAGGACCATATCGATGGAGCTAAGCATAAATCCAAAGTCAATGGCTTGGACGACATCAGTGGGCTTTTAAAACGCAGATGGGTCAATGCAGAGAAATCGGATGATGAAGAAAAAGGTGAGGTCCATGATAATTGTTTTACAGTGAAAATATCAGCTAACAGATAACTGATGTAAAGTGCTGGATTGAGTGTTTTTAATAGTCCCGGACCTTTATTCGAAAATATCCTAATAGGATAAACAAAACTCGCACGTGCTCTCAAAGTAGTTAATAGTTATAATGAAGGAGTGTTGGAATAGTTGTGTGACAGAAGATTTCATATTGGACGTCTTTCATTGCCTTTACTGCTTGCTTTCAGATGCCGATCTTCCAGTTTACGTCGTCGTAAGCGAAACCTACGTGCCAGTGGCGCCCTCTACCAAGGCGAAAGTCTCACACAAGAGCGGCTTCTCAATGTACAAGACACCAAGCGGGAAGTTCTACTGCTCGTGCTGCGATACCATGTTGAACTCGGAGTCACACTTCGCTCAGCATCTTGACAGCAAGAAGCACAAGCAGACGTCTGGCGTGAAAAATGTCTCAATGTCGTGAATGAATAGTGTTTCCTGATCGCCAGTAGGGAAGTGAGATTCCCCATTCTAGAGCAATGTACAAATGGTAACATCCCAGTTGGTCTACTCCCATTTTGCCTTCGTCTACTCTCACAATCGGCAATATTCCCATTTCGCCTACCCCCGTTGTTTCATTTTTATGTTATTGTTTTCTATTTTTGTCAAGTTGTGTTCTCATTATTTGTACCTATGTTTTCTTCTTGTTCCTGTAGTCTATGTATGCCAATCAAAACCATATTTTATTATTTATAAATGATTATTTCGTGAACAAACCGATCGTAGATGAAATAGGAATGGAGTAAATTTTGAGCGTAGACGATTTGGGAGTAGGCGAAATGGGTGTAGGCCAACTGGGAATTTTGCTGTAGGCGAAATGGGAGTAGGCCAACCGGGAATAAACCGTACAAATGACTGCTTTAAATATTGTACGAGATATTTATATTGCCTGACCATGCCACATTCACAACAAAGTACCAGGCACCATTTCTAAGTTGACCAATCCTGCATCCCTAAATAGTTAAGTGGAGTTAGAAGAATGTTGGCTTCTAGTTTGCATTGCTTGCCGAGTTGTGAAATTTACGTGGCTTGGCTAAAATGTGATTACATTTACTTAAGGTACCAATCCTGTAATTCTATTACTGTTCTAGAAGATATAATATATTAGAGGTGTTTAATCCATTTACACATTTACATGTATACAGAATTAACAGTTTTATGCATCGTTTATGGGGAACAATTTATAGGCGCCTGTCAGTGGTTTCTATATTTTTCCTCTTATTTAATTGTTAGTGCTTGTTGAAAATGAATCTGGCTGCATCACTGTACTAGTTGAAATCTTAGTTGTTTTAGTCAATAGTTATTTATATTTCCCCTACCTGATTATGCTGTGCGGTGCCGTGGTTACTAGTTTGTACAGGTGTTGTCACCAAATTCTGTTGCCGGGCAACTAGCTTCCTGTATAGGTGGGGACCTAACCTCGTTTGGAAATGTATGTGCTGGAAGATTGAAGTAATGGTGAGTGTCAATTATGTGCAATAAACATACAGGTTGTGTGTTTCCAAATTATGTCCACTTACGTGTCCATTTAGTATTGTAAAAATATCATAATAGGATTGAGAAATATTGTTGCTTGTGTTATTATTGTCACTAGTATAGAACATGTTCCGAATATAATGTATTTTTTTTACAAAATCGAAATATTGGCTTTTGACATGATTTAGATGTTGGCAATAAATTTCTTCACATTTCAAGTGAGAGACATACTACACAGAAAAGTTGGAAAAAGAGCCATTCCAATTTTGACACAATAATGATAAGGTAGGTACCAAGCAAACCAAATAAAATAGCTTCACTATAGAAAATTGAAAATATCTGATCTGTGCATGGTCTATTAAACCTATGTATATTAAGTACACATAAGGCAATGGTGGTACAGAACAGATAAAGGTAGAAATTGTGCATTGGAGGTTCTGCATAGCAGAAAGAAATTGGACAAAGACTGAACAAAATTTGCACTACAGGGCAGACAAGCGATGTCACGAGGGGTAGGATTGAGAATAGACGAAACTAAGTTTGTAGGATAGGAATTCATAATGAACTGAACGATCTGGTGGGCAATAAAAGTAAAAGAAACTCAAAATTTGTGCAGTAGGGAATGATGTATAGTGAAAGACAGCTAGATAGTAATTGGGATATGGCTGTACACAACATGAAAGCATGAAACATAAGCATTCTTTCATATAGAAAATTATTTAGTACTTGCAGGACCGACCCCTTTCTCATATTTGTACAACCATGGTTTTGCTGACACACCCCTTATAAGCTGCGAGCACCACATTTTAAATACAAACATACCAAACCAAATATATTGGGAAAGATAACGAACGACTCACCCACCTTCAAAACAGACCATACTGAACCGACTAGTTTTCCAGGCAACATAAAATTATTACGTAACTTCATTACGTAAACACAGGCGCCTAAAATGTTTATGCAAACCTGGAAAGTTATTTTGAGCATAGAAGTGACAAGTAGCTTCTTGAATGAGAAAGCCAATTGTTTCTATTATCTGTTAAACCCTAGACATCGTTAATATTGCATCCATATCTCATTCACTGCGATATACAGAATATCCATTGACCACATAACGACATGCAAGTAAGCATTGCATTATTTTCATTTTACACAAATAACAACACTTTAGACAATTTAGATTACATCAACTACCACACAGCAACAGTTTTCAAGTTTGCCTAGAATGATCACTGGTATAATTCATAGATGTATGTCACCTATAACCATTGGGCAAAAGTTATCAACACACATAATATTCGATTAGTTTGCATTGTTCAACTTGTGCCATTATGAAGATAAGGGAACAATACCTATTCATTTCATGCAACTCAAATTTAGAAGGGGGTGCCAACGATGTAATAAATTATGCAGTACGTTGTTCCTGCATCCCAGGTTGGTATGGAGTGAGAATTCTTAGACTTCTCCATTTATTTCTTCTTCATGTCTGCTTTGGTTTGGCGACATCTTTTGCTGAAATATAGATGAGGTGGGATAACCTGAGAAAGCCCGATTATATTCTAGGACGAATTTTTAATGCTTTTATGCATTATATTTTATTAATAAATTTAAATGTTATATTCTATATCATTTTATGTCTCATGATAATTACCTTTAGCTAATATAAAATTTGAAACTTTGCTCGAACTTCAAGGCTGATTGTGCACTAAAATGATCCTACTAGGATATGACTTTGAATAACGTGACACAACGCAATGATTACCACAGTTAATAAAACATGTGTCACTGCTCTCATCTATTTCAGGTGTGCATTCTACCATCTTTAGGTACATCAGGCACATTTCTCACTGTAGTATGCTCCATACAAGCTGTACTCTAACCTCTGCACTTTGTAGTGTCAAAACATAATCGCACCTTTTGCATCTGCTTCTCTTCGTTTTGCTGCCTCGTCTCGCTGTTTGCGGATTATTGCCAGCCGTGCCAGATCCGATTTGGCTTCAGTCGTCTTGCCTTGTGCATGCAGTTTCTGATAACGCAATTTTGCTTGCTGCTTTTCGATCTCTTCTCTATTCATTAAATAAATACATAAAAGTTGTCATATTGTTCAGCCAAGACTATTAACGAGTAACATAAAGTAACAAATTAATAAGACAGGGGATTTATTAGCTGGTGGCCGAAAGCTACACACTTTGTAGATATGCCCAGCTTGTCCTACAGAATAATTTACTTTCACATATACCCATAATACTTTATAAGTGGCTACTAAGAAATCTCTGTAAAACGTATGTGGAATATATTATTATTATTACTATTATTATTATTATTATATCTCTCTGCCATGATCTGCATAAGGTTTAGTGTATACAAATAACTACTCACCTTTCTCGTCGTGAAAGCTCTGGCTTGGGTTCACTCAGGTCTACATTTTCAGCCTTCTTGGTTTTTTGTACCACCCTGTTTGGGTTTTCTATTTCATCAGCTATGAGGCTAGCAACTCCTTTTTTTAACTAGAAAGAGAGAATCAGAGTAGCGTCTATACCAAAAATCAAGACTGACTGAAGACAGAACAACGAACGGATTTTTATATGGTATACATGGATAAACCTTTTCCTGCTAAATAATTAGACAGAAAATTATATACAAAAATATTTTTCACAACTTGTAAGATAATATGTATTCAACTATTGATGCATCCTGATTTAGTGTGCCATAAACTCTTAATGAACTCTAAATACAGTCATAAACTCTTAATTAAACGCATACTAGGCCTATTGATTATACAATGTTGACGAATGCTAGAGTAACTGGCATCTTGTGTAGTTAATAAGTACATGACCTTACATCCAAACGCGTATTAGTTTGTCCAATATCACTGCTGGTTACTAAGAAATGTATAATTGAAATCCGCAGTCCAAGAAATCAGTTGCTTACAGTTTCAAACCGCTGCCGGCAAAGCGGGTGTGATATAGATTTATAGTGCACCGGACATTTTCACACGCATGCTCGGCCATACGCAATGCTATCATCAGTGATTTCGTAAACAGGGAACGCTCGTGATAAGGAACTTTTTGTCAGGGCTGTCCATGTGCGTCCATGATTAGTACGTGTGTTTTACTCCATTTTCATGTTTAGTCCGTGGCCGTGGTTACACCGCTAACACCTCCATTTCATCTGGCGTCCAAAACATACGGGCTGCATAAATGTTTACATTATCGCTTGACTCCTGGATGACATTTACGGCACGTAAATGAATATCAACAACCGATTTCAAGTCTTGCTTGTAATGTAACCAGCGGTGTTATTGGACAAACTAATACGCATTTGGCTATAAGGTTATGTACTTATAAACTACACAAGGTGCCATTACTCTAGCATTCGTCAACATTGCATAATCAATGGGCCTATAGTATGCCTTTAAACCGGAAATTTCCCAATGACAAGCTCTGACAAGTCATATGTTGAGTTAGCTGACCTGATCGGTTCCCTCGTCTTCTGAAGACTCCGATTCACTGTCGTCACTACCAGCCTTTTTCGTAGCACCCTCATCATCTGAACCAGAACCCTCCTTGTCTCCCTGTCACAATATAAAGATGATATTAGTTTATCTAACCACATATCCAGCAGCTTACACAATAACTCTACACTCACCGGTAACCAGCTCAACATAATAAAGGAGTTACCTTGACAAATAGTATACGATCTGAAAACATCTCACCATGAGCCAATTTTTGGTTGAAATAGACACTGAGAACATGGATTTTGGTTATGGGTTTGCATTTGGGCATCTCCCAGCATTCCCAGCCAGAGACAGCAACCCTGACCGTGATATCAACCACACTATATTAGTTAATTGCTCAAAAAACAATCAATCGAGAAATCATGGACCGCTGAGAAATTAAATTGTAGTGTGAATGATTACATCATTCAGAATGTTCATTATTTTACATCCCTACCTGTTGTTGCTTTTTTATTTTTTCATCTTCCATTTGCCTTTTAATCTCATCTTCTGATGTGAAGTGTCTTCGGTTTCCCTTGTGACTCTTCTTGCCCCTACCTCCACCTGAATTCATTATTGCCAAGATTAACAATGATGATATAGATTAACATTCCATATAGCAGGAAACAGCTATTCGTAAAATTTTAAGTGTGAACTGATGAGTTTTCAGTAATAATGTTAGTACCTTACATGTTACAGCAAAAAGGATTCAAGCATTCACAATTTCACTAGATATTGTATTTCTACAGGTTGCCACACTAGTGTAGAATACTGTCTAGTATTGCACATAAATCATAACGGTTGTTATTGTCGTAATATTGCACTCAATATTGAGGAAACACACCAGGTTTCAAGTTTGATCACTGTAAAAATAACTCAAAAGTTAAAAACTGGAAATATACCAGAGTGCTCAATATGCCTTATAATATAGGTTAGTTTCAGTCCATAGTACATCCTGACTAAATTTTGGTCAACTTTCATTATTCTGGACAGTGATGTAAATTTTAAAGCTAGTTTTAGTAAAACAGAGAGGTCAACTGATGCTGTCATGATATCACAGCTAAGTGGTAAGAGATGATGGTAGATGTGATTTTTTTCACGTGAGACCTGCTTACACATCCATTAGAATGTATACTCCAGGGTAACAGCAAAACGCAAATGAATTCTGTGCACCTCACTTGAATGTTGTGGAATGACACAAAATGCTTACGACGAAGCAGGTTCAGAAAATGATTCATAAATATGTTAAAGCACTACACAACAATACTGAAGACTGCAATCTGTGTGGGAAGGCACACTATATAATCATATGAGACAGTTACTTCTACTAGGAAGGGAGAGTAACAGGGTATGTAGAAGTCTATTGGAGCCGCAAGACCTACATGGCAGCTAGATCAGAACAGAATTAAAACTACTTATCTGATGAAAGAACAAACAGCATTAGCAATTTAGCATATCTTTATATGACCATAAAATGGTTACAACAATCAGGTTTTCGGCTGTGATTGAGAGAAAGCTCCAATTTTATTTTAGCCTGATACATTAATTACCATTTCAACACTCATACGTACTCAGTACTACTCACACGCACACGCTCAATCTCATATAAACCCAGACCCATACATACACATTCACACACATCACATGCACACACTCACTCACACACTCATTCATTCAGAATACATCACAATAAATTCATTATTCCCATATCTGCTATATGCTGTTAAAATTGTATTTTTTGCAGTAGTGATATTCTACTGCGATCTGCAGTATTGATCTGTCCATCTCACCAACTCTGTCTCTCTCTGTCTTTGATATAGTCCCGTGGACTTTGAAGGCTAATCTTTATGAGCTTAAGAAGTTATTAACAAAGTGTAGATACAGGGTACTAGTCTACACATAGCTTAGGCTGGTACCGTATCTACCTATAGTACATCTACTAACAAAGTGTAGAAAAAAGATAACGGACTTTGCATGGCCTAGCCTTTTACTTATACTGCAATTGAAGCTTGTTACTCTCTACCACAGCAAGTTAGGACAAATTCTGTTTATTCTAGTTTTAAGTATAGTGTTAAGAAATGTCTGATGGAAAAGGTAGAAACATTAGAGGCAAAGGAGTATGATTTCGGCTAAAAGAATTCGGTTGAAATTAGGCATAAGAAAAGTTTGTATCGTCTCATGAGAATGTACCATTGTATGACTTGTTAAAACTACAAATTTGTATATTTCAATAGTTACTGCTGATAGTAGTGTAAAAATTTTGTTAGATTCAAGGCATATCAAAACAAGGACCACAATGTAAATAAGTGTGCTAGTCATGCTTTTTGTGTATATATATCCTTGGTAGTTATCCAATTTTATGAATTCAGAATTTTATTGTAAAAGTATGCTATGTATTGTATATGATGGATAATTGCCTAAATAAATAAATAAATAAAATAGCACAGCATTGGTTTTATGGGTTGGTGTTTAACTTTAGGGAATTAACACTTAAACTTTGGCTTTAATACTGAAACAACACAACAGCAGCGATGCCAGTGTCAGTGAGCAGGAACTCTGCATTTCATCAACAAGTGCACTCAGACAACAATGTATAGCCATGAAGCAATGGGTTAGACGGGTCAAAATACCTGCATACTTGAAGTGATTATTGCGAATTTTTTGGCTCAGAAAAACGAAATATAGCTGAATATAGTCTCAACTGACAGTGGAAATATCACTGATTATACCAACATTCAAAACACCAAGATTTTGTGCAGTTATAGCATAGAAAAATTGATTTAACCACATCATACCAGCAATAAATTTTATCGTGTCACGACTCTCAAAAATCACAAATAGCGTCTCAAACAAGCGAACATAATTAAAACAAAAGGGCGTGCAATTCTGTTTGGTAAATATTATTGAGTTTTTATGTCACTAATTCAGAGCACTTTATGTCATTGTCATTCCCGTGTTACTATCTGTCTGGCAATCCACAAGCTTCTCTAATACGTGGCATTAGTACTACACTGCTGTTACGCTAGTATGAACGTCTCTGTTTACACTCTGACCTGATTTCTACGGTGCGTGGTATGCATTGCTGCACCGTGATAGATGTCTCGCGCTACCGCGAGAAAATTCGAAAGATGGCAACGGTAAACAGAAACAGAATGCAAAATTGTAATTGTGCATGATATCATTGGATTTGGTGAATACGAAGGTTCTAAGACATTTTATCGTTACTCTAGACAATTGCTGTTACTCAAGCAATAACGGTAGGTATCATGAAAGTGGGGAAAACACTGGAAAATTCTCGCAATAGACGCTTTAACTCCAAGAAACGGTCATACTTCGAAAGACCTGTGTACAGTGTGTACTGTGTTACATGTGTACACAGTGTGGCATACAGTGATATACCGTGTGACGGTGTGTAGGCGTAGTGAGTGACATTACGATAGTTTGCCAGCCTGTTTCAGTCACTAGATACTATTATAGCCTACTACTACTAGCCATCCAGAGAGACATGATACAAGATTGCATGGCACAGTTTTGCTGTTGATCCTGAGCGCTGCGCGCGGATGAGACGCGCAATTCCGCGGGATATGCGCACGCGACCGCGGGGTTGTTCAAGTATGAAGCGCTGTCCGCAGTGGAGACGTGCGCCAAATTCGAAGCCGGGTGCACGTCTCCACAGCGGTCAGCAGATGGTCTGTAGTTTTAGAAGATAACAATGAAGACTTTGTTCTAAATGAGAACTATCGGCGGCTAAATAAGAGCAATATACAGACCTTTGAATTTCTTGACTAGTCAGTCAAAGGGCTTGTTGGGGGTCCATTATGCAGAGCTTCCAATTGAAATAGCCCATGAAATTGTCAAGTGGAATTGTATTTTTCGAAACCCCAAAGAAAATGTCTCCCTGTTACATGCACCCCCTCAGGGCTCGAATTAAGCGGCGAGAAGGGCAAGGCAATTTTTTTAGGGCACGTGAGAAATCGCCTTGAATTTTCTCTAAAATGGAAGGGCACAGAGGCAATTTTAAAAGGCACCAAGGCAACTTTCAAAATTTGAGAAGGGCTGAGGGGGTGCATGTAAGAGGGAGACATTTTCTTTGGGTGGCGCAAAAACACAATTCACTTGACAGATTTCGATGGGCTATTTCAAATGGAAGCTCTGCCATAATTGGCACCCCAACAATGCCTCTTGACTGACTAGTCAATGAAATTCAAAGGTCTGTATACTTGCTCTTTTTTTAGCCGCCGCATAGTTCTTCATTTAGAACAAAGTGTTCATCTGTTATCTTCTAAAACTACACGATTCATCTGACTGCGCTGTGGAGACGTGCACCCGGCCTTCGAATCTTGGCGCACGTCTCCACTGCCGGCACAGCGCTTCATACGTTTGAACAACCCCTGCGCGATCGTGTGTCGCGCATATCTCCGCCGGATTGCTGCGCTCTCTCATTCTTCGCGCAGCAGCGCTCTGGCGATCAACAGCAAAGACTGATGCCCATGCAATCTTGTATCATTGTCTCTCTGGATGGCCTAGCTCAGTAGTTAGGCCTATAATAGTATCTAGTGACTGAAACAGCTGGCAAACTATCGTAATGCTCAACTCACTACGCTACACACCGTCACACGGTATTATCACTGTATTGCCACCACTTGTTACACATGTAACACAGTACACACTGTACACAGGCGTCTTTCGAAGTTATGCACGTTTCTTGGAGTTAAAGCGTCTATGCCGAAGAACTTAGCTTTTTCCAGTGTTTTCCCCATTTCATGATTACCTACCGTTATATTAGCTTGAGTAACAGCAATTTGTTTTTTTCAGGTAGCCAGTACGATAAAATGTCTTAGAACCTTCGTATTCACCAATCCGCCGAATGATATCATGCCCACATTACATTTTGCATTCTGTTTCTGTTTACCCGTTGCCATCTTTCGAATTGTTTCTCGCGCTGCGCGTAGCGCGAGACATCTATCCACGGTGCCAGCAATGCATACACGCACCTGTTAGATAATCAGGTTCAGAGTGTAAACAAGAAGACGCTTCATACTAGCGTAACAGCAGTGTAGTACTAATGCCCACGTATTAGAGAAGGCTTGTGGATTGCCAGACAGATAGTAACACAGGCGAATGACAATGACAAATAGTTGGTCTGAATTAGTGACATAAAAACCTCCAATAATATGTTACCAAACAGAATTGCACGCCCTTTGTTTTACATATTATGTTCGCTTGTTTTGAGACGCTATTTTGTTTGTTTTTGAGAGTCGTGACACGATAAAATGTAATTGTTGTATTGATGTGGCGTTAAATCAATTTTTCTCTATCGCTACTAATCTGCCACCAAAATCTTGCGGTGTTTTGATATTGTTGGTACTTAATCCAGTGATATTTCCACTGTCACGTTTGAGACTATATTCAGCTATGATTTGTTTATTCTGAGCCAAAAAAAATTCCGCAATAATCACTTTCAAGTATGCAGGTTAATTTTGACCCGTCTAACCCATTGCTATCAGGGCGTATATACATTGTTGTCACTGAAGTGCACTTTGTTGATGAAATGCAGAGTTCTG